TTTACTCAATCTTGCTCTTTCTAGGACTTCGTTTCTTTTCCCACAGCCCTTTTCCATACTTCTTCTTTCCACCAGAGTATTGAATATCTTCATTCTCTTTTCGAAATCGTGAAATTGAAAATTTTTTCCCCAACACTTTACGTTCTCTTTATTGCCATTGTTGCTTTAATCTTTCTTTTATACATATATTTCTCTGTTCCCCTATTTTTCTGCAGAGTTATCCTAGATATTTAATTTCTTTAACTGCTTCTATTTCCTCTTCTTCCATTTCCTCATTTTTTTTCTACTTCTACCTTTCTCGAATTCCATTATACATGGCATCCATTGTAGCATTCACGTTCAATGGGTTTTAATCGGAACTTAACGTTTTAATCGGGTTTTAATCATTGAACTTGTAATTCGATAAAATCCCATTTAACTCGATAAAAGTGATTTTCCAATTTAAAACCAAATGAATTTATATAGCGTACAAAATCCGATAGAATCCCATTTAATTCGGTATAAGCGATTGAAACTCATTGAACTTATAACGTACAAAATCCGGCATAATCTCATTCAACTCGGTATAAGCGATTTTCTAATTAAAATCCATTAAACGCATATATCATAAGAAAATTGACTGCATCTTAATAAAATACTATTGGACGCGTATCCTCTTAAAATCGATAGATTCTCAATAGATTTTATTAAAGTGTGTTTTCTATTAAAATTCGTTAAATGTATATCATTAAAAAAACTTGATAGAATCCTAAAAACTGTGAAAGTGTATTTCCGATTAAAACCAATAGAATGCTATGAAAGCGTGTGCGTAACTAAAACCCATTAAATCCATGTAAAGAAATAGTTGGATCTCTTAAAGTCGGTGAAACTGAATTAACCCTTCTTACTGTAAAAGACGTTAAGGTTGCTGACTTAATCACAAGCGTGCGTTAGCTCAGCGTTAGTGTATTAGACGTTTTAAGGATTATAGGTTGTAGGTTTCTATAGATCTTTAAATCTCAGCGGCGATGCGTTTTCAAAAATTAATTGTAATTAATAAAATAGAATGCAGACAAAAAAAATAACCCCAAATTAAACTAGAAAGATAAAAAAATAGTAATAAACCATGTTAAAATAAAAAAAAATTTTTTTCATTAAAATTTCTCATCAAAATCCATTAAACGCGTATAATATGAAAGCCGATAAAAAACTGTAAAAGCATATTCCGATTAAAACCAATAGAATCTTATTAATACGCGTTTCCAATTAAAACCCGTTATACACGTATCATATGAAAATCGATAGAATCCCATTACGTCCCAAATAACATTTATTATGTTGCATAAGGTATCTAAAAGACGTCTTTTAGGCGTATTATATCTAAAAGATGTCTAAAAGACGTCTTTTAGATATCTTATGCAACATAAATGTTATCTGGGATCATTGCGCGGCTTTCCCATTCAATCTCATTGAACGAAATAAAATTTAAGCGCATTGTGTGTGAATCCCAATAAAATCCTATTAAATTTTAAAAGTGATCTTCATATAAAGATCTTTTCATATAAAGAAAAATGGATTGTATGACCACCTATCAAATCTTATTGAAATTGTATCATAAATAATTCCATTTGAACCTATTACATTATTGTGGGAATTTGTCAATTGATTCTTCTTTTCTGCGAAGGGAATCAATCGGAGATTGCTGTTGCGCATTTCGGATTCAAATTCATAGGAAATTTTTCAATCGGTTTCAGTGGAAATTTTTGAGCAAGGTACTCCTCCTGTCTATCCTTTTTCCATTTCCTCCTCCAAATCCGATATGTACATATTGAACAGTGTCGTGCTTAGTGGACATCTCTGTCTGAAGCCTTTTTTTCCAGAATTCTTCCGATTTCCTATTGCCTATTTTCACTACATTTAGTGTTTCCTTATACATTTCCATAATTCGAAGTCAGATTGTTATCTATCTGCATCTTTTTCATTTCATTTAGTTGTTTTCTGTTTCTACATTATCAAATGTAATTTTTTTGCGAAAAAGGTAAATATCTTTCCTCCTTTCTTGCTCAATTCCCTATTGATCACGTAATTTACCATGTAGATCGTATCCATCGTTTCTCTTCCCTTCCTCTTCCGTTTCTCTTTCCTCTTCTCTTTCTTTCTGAATCCAAATTGTCCTTTCTTCAACTTTTCATCCGTTTCATTTTTAAGTTTTTTGTTTAGAATAGTCGCGTAGATCTTATATGCTATGTCTATTAACGTAATGCCTTTGTACTTTTTAATCTCGTTTTTTTCTCCTCTTTTGTAGGACAGATTAAACCTTAATTCCAGTTTGATGGTATTCTTTCTCCTTTCCATACTCTGTTAATCAGCTTCCAGAATTCTTCTCCGATTTCTTTGGACATAAACCTCCACGCCTTATTCTCTATTTATTCTCTCTTTCGTCTTCTCCCGGCGCCTTTGCCTTCTTTAATTTTCTCAACATTTTTATTAACTCTTCTTTCGAAACTCTTCTTCTATCTTTATCTATCATTTCTTCTTCGCATTCATCACTTTCTAGCTGCAAAACCGTTCTTACCTCCATAAAGTGGTTCCTCCAGCTGTCTATGTGTATAATATATCCCTGCTTGGTCCTTCTGATTTCTTTTTCCTAAACTTATTAATATATTTCCATACATCTTCCTTATTTTTTATATTTCTTATCCTTTTTTCTTCTATTTCCTCATTTCTTCTGTGCTTCGCACTATTCTTTATATCTTCTCCTTTTTATCATATATTCCTCCTTGCTAGTTCTTTCTTTCTTTAGATCCCTCAGTTCTCTTCTTAATTCTCTTTTCAAATCTTTCCATTCTTTATTATACCATTCTCTTTTTCCTAATTTAGGAGTAATCTTCTTCTTATAATTTGTGATCGCACTTTTAATCTTTTCTTTCATTTCCATCAAGATGCCCTCTATATCCTTTTGTGTACTCTTCCATTCTTCGCATCTCTCTCTGGTAGCTATTTACCCTCTCTTCCGTCCAGTCATTTCTCTTTATTTCCACTTCCGTATTCTTCTTGTCTTTATTCTCGATTAATTGCCCCACCAGTTCTACTTCTAATGGTATGTAATCTAATTCCATCCTGTTGCCTTCTACTCTTTTTATCTCTTCTCTTGCTTGTTTCCTATCACGTAATCTATAACAAATAATCTTCTCTTCCCTATGTACGTCCATTCCCTCTTTTCTCCAAAGCTTTTATTCAGTATCACTTATCCCCTTTCTTCTATTTTACTTATTAATATATGTTTATTATGTTATCTATGAATTCTCTACTTTCACTTTTCTTTTCATTT